GGGGGGGGGGGGGGCGAATGGATATACATACGTAGCAGGGGTCGCCAAGTGACAAACGATTGGTGATGGGATATTACAGGTAGAAATCAATATCGCTAGGCCAGCCAGTTGCACGGGTGGGAGGAAGAATGCATTAATATTTGTAGAAATAAAGGAATTACTATGAATTTACATAAATTCATTTCGTTGATCATAAATCGTAATTCGTTACCCGTAAATCCGTTGATTGTTCCAATAATAAACATAATCACGGGGAATTGGATGAGAGCGATTGTCGAATATGGAGGATCGAAAGAAGAAACTGTTCTCAGCTATCAGTAATGCAATGCTATGCTGGTGGATTGTTGGATTCTGGCAATTCGTAAACTGTATTGGTGTCCTCTATGGAAATCTTCTTCAGTGTCTTCCTCCGGCGACATCGAGGCTGTTCTCATGGTAAACATCAAAGGCTGTGGATATCCTCCTGTCGTCGACTGTGAGAACTTCACACGAGAACTGGGTTACGAGGGTGCGAAATTTCCATGCCACTACAGCCGCGTTAACGGCAGCATAGTGATGGCGGACTATAATCGCGAGGCGCAGATCGCGACGATCATGCACTTCTTCGCTGCACCCTTCGTAGTGACGCTGGCGACCAGCGTCGCCCTGTGTGTGATGCATTGTGATTGCAGGTGCGCTGCACCGCCACGACACTCTGCCAGAGGGATAAGAAGGCCTGGATTAAGCGACCTAAGGTAATGTCACATTTACTTTAGCATTAGTTATGCTAATAATATTCTTCTTGCTAAGACTACGACTTTGAAAAATTTTAACTTCTCAACATCAGATGTCTGCTCGTTCGTTTTTTTTTATTTTCTAATTTTACCGGCGGTTAGGGGTCTCGCTCGGTAGAGCTCCCCCCTTTATCGTCCCCCCGCTCGGCGCCCTACCGAGGGTGGGTTGTTATTTTTCTACTGCCGACCGTTCATCATCTTTACGGTGGTTGGCAGCACTGGCAGCATTAGAGTAGAAGGCAGAAGAGGCTTGGGGACGTACCAGGCCAGGAATACCAACTGTGCTCTCATACATCAAGCCTGGATTAGACGGCGCGAGCTATGGCTTTCGTTCCCTTCCACGTTCGCGAATCTTTATAGCCGAAGTTCCCACCCTTTTACGGATCATGTTGTTACTGGCTGCCAGCTACCAGCCACATGCTCTATCGGCTGCGAATTATTTCTACCGAGCTGAAGCATTTTAATGAAAACGACGCTTTATATCGACTTGCGTGCAATGAAAATGACTGATAATCTGGTTTTAAACAAATTGTTACTACGCAACAATCATTTTTCAACGTACGTGGTCGTAGGGTAGAGCTTCTCGGGATTTTTCAGCAGTACGCAGGTTACTGATTACAGGTTACCTCGTTGGGAACGAGGCAGGACGATCCTTTTCATGAAAATGAGACACGTTACCACAGCAACATGCGTAATCAGATTAACATAATGTTATAGTCTACCAGAAGGCCCGGGAGGCTGAATAAAAATGAAATACTGAAAGAACCGGAACTTTTAATTGCACCAACCCTGAAAAGGTGTTGCACACGTGCGACGTTAACTCGCAGAAGCTGCAACGAGAAAAACGTGTCCCGTTCTCATTTTATGCTGCACTTACCCTTCGCGGTCTCCGAGCTTTCGAATAAAAAAGTTCTCTCGAGGTTGGTGCGATTTTTAATTATGCATCTGGCATCCTGGTCAAGCCCTTAGGGGTGGCCAGTCATATATCTCTCTCTTTTTTCATTCCGTGACAATGAGTTTCCGGATAGCACAATTCTTTCAAGTGCAACTTGTTCGGCCTTCAAACTAGCAGCTTTTGATCCCTTTCCCCTTCTCTTATCCACCCCCTTTCGTTGTTCTGTCATCGATTCGAATGTGCAGTTGTGTTCGTTGCGAAGCTTTACATACCGGTTAAATATTTAGCGACTCAAAGTGCGGGCAAAACTGTTTATGGCGCTCGCGCACGCGAATTGCACTGTCACGATATCGATGTCTAATTGCCGCATCCTCCATACTAACGCATTACATATTTCTTCACTATATTCCTTCTCTCCGTCCTATATACCTTTTTATAGGATTCAGGCTCAACTCAAACCTCGGACTAAGTTAGCGAAACTTTCGGGGCGAAATAATCGTAGAGACTCAAACCAGACGAATTTCAGCTGCTGCCGACTTATCCAGCAAAACCACTTCAGGCCTTTCCATGATCTTAACGAACTTTCCTGAAACTCGAGACTTGTTTTACCCTGGTACAGATAGGGCCTCGAGTAGTCAAGTTCCCTGGCTCTATTGGTTTAGCTTCTTACGCAACCTCAAGTCGATCCACGTTTCTACGAAGCTCAGCTCGAGTAGACGGCTAAATCCTAACCAGGACGCACATACAGAGAGACTATAGTGTCTTTCCTTGAAAATTATTTCCGTTAGTCGTTTGTTTTGTCTATCGCTGGCAGCACGTTTCGTCAACAAGAGATTGTATCATAGCATGGGCTTTTCGTGTTGCACTATAGAGTGCTCCTCGGTGCTCGTGGAGAAGCGTGCAGCTGGCTTGGAAAAATATTAGGAAGAGGGAAGAAGAACCAAACGAAGTTACGAGGCTGTTCGAGCGGACTGTATGCCTCTGGTTAAAAGTCATGCAGTTCGTCGTTATGGACGATTGTAGTTTAATTACTTTTGACGTCTGCTCTTGATTATACTCCGGTATACTCTTGCTTGACTCTCGACACGAATGGCCAAACCGATCGTTAGGCTACTGGCTGTAGGCTGTTTTACAAAACTCGGTCTTCGTCGATACTGATATTGATTTTTGTGGAGCTTACTCGTTCCTGGTGCAGCTGTGCAATCAGGACCGATTAAATAATCAGACTTAGTATTTTTCATAATTTGGGAGATGGATATTCCACTGCAAAGAGTTTGGTAATATTACGCCATATGTATGCAATGTAAAGGTAAGAAGGTCTGATGGTTTGGTTGTTTTTGGCAAGCATATTGGTTTGCTGGAAATTTGTGACCGCAAGTGAAAAATAGGGATCCGCTTTTCCAGGAAGACCGTCGGGGGTTCCGTAGGTATATAATGAGATTTGACTTTGACAGAATTTCAGGGAAAAAATAAGTCTCGTCGTTTGGCTTGGGTTTGTAATAAAAAGGAGATAACATTCTTTCGTGGTTAGTTTGCTGGAAAACTTGGGGCTCTTATCCTGCGGGGCAGAAGGGACAGAAGCAAGCTCAGTGAAATACCTCTCAAGTTAAATCGCCATTGAGGCATCGTGAAATTTCGAAGAAAGCGAATACTGTGGCGGATGAGAAGGTGGAATGTGCAGAAAATAAAATTTCATTTTTTTTTTTTTTCAAATACGCATATTGCCCATGGGATTTTAATCAAACGCGAAAACTGTTAAGTTAGAGAATGAAGAGCATCTGCTACGCCGGAGCAGCTGGGACAAAGAAAAACAAAACACTAATATTTCAAGCCGTATGGGTTTCCAACTTTGGGCTTACTACAGACACACGTATTCGTGACGATAGTTCATGCATCAAAGTCACGACGAGCCGTAATTCTTGGAGATTGGAATAATCGACGAAGCTTCGAAAATTTCCCAAAGGAAATTTGCGTAATGAGAAAGTAACGGAACTCCGTGTGCAATATTCGTTATGCAACCCAGATATACTACAAGTAAAGCAGATAAAAAGATTACTGATGTTTAAGTTTAGATACGAGATCGAAAGAGAAAACCGATTAAACGCACAATGACGTTCAACTGATCTTAAGGGCGTTTCGAGACAAAAGAATCTTATCTTATTAAAAATGTTATTGCTCCTATATTATTTTTAGCTTAATTTTCATCAAGCTTAATCCGGGAATGGTTGCCCGATTCTCTTTCACATTTTAAAAGCATTGAGTTGGGGTCTCTCAGGCATCCCACGCGCCTACCCCCTGGATTAACAATAGACCTTCTAATATTCATCAAAAGTATTGTTCATTACTTCAGCCGAATGACTACTGAAAGCTGACTGTCATTACCAACTTGAAAAAAAATAATTAAAAAATTTCAAGTTTTTAATAATTTCACGTGTCGTTTTTTAATTTGACGATTCTCATAAATTTTTCAATCGTTAACAAAATCTGCAATTTACAAAGTTTATCCACTTGGAGCCAGTAAGAGGGGAGTCGGAAAGAAGCCAACTATCTTTTTACGCGTTCGATGAAAAAACTCAAGCACTTGCATAGCGAGCAAATGCATAATTGAGTGAAATGCAAACAGTCTAGGTCTTTTTATATGTGTACCAGTTCAGAAACATGTAGAAAGCAGCGCACGCTACTTCTGGTATCTACAGACTGTTTACCATGGAGCTACGTACACGCTGTCTATATATACACGGAAAATTATGATAAATCGTTCGTGTATCTATACCAACGCGAATTTTTAGTTCGGATCGTATACGAGAACTCACGTGTAGAATTAGCTGTAAAGTTATGATCGATAAGTCTGCGGAACTAGCAGCTAATGTGTAGTCCTCTTTCACGTATCGTGTAGCTACTCTTTTACACTGTTTCTAGTCAAATTTATAGCTCCAGCAATAATTTTTCAAGGGACGATATATTACCATCGGTATCCTACGCCTTTGCGCCCTTCTCCACGTCTTTGCATGCTTCCCAGAAAAGCATGCTCGTTATCCGAATACGATTTGTTTTTTTGTCAATTCTTTTCCAAAAAAGAAAATTTACCAGCCAAATTACAATGTATGGGCGACGCGTTGGCATTCGCTAGCTACGTATTATTCGATACATCATAGGGGTTCACTAAACGTTTGTTTGTTTCATATCTCTGACTGGGTTTGCATTTTATGAGAAACGACTGAGGTACACGTGTAATTTTTTTTAAGGAACCGGGCTAACTTTCGGCGAGAAAATGACTGTAGATTTGAAGGCTCTTGGAAGCGTTCCAAAATAGAGAATAATAGTCTCGTTCAAAATCTAGGAACACGTGTTATTACTGGCTGGGGAGTAACGTGGTATATGCTGTTGCTGGAAAAGTGCCGATTATCAGATTTTCTATCCCGACTGTACAGGACTCACGTAGTGCAGCCAGCTGATAATTCTCATTTCGAGTAGCTTATTGTCCGAAAGAATTTAACAAGCTGACCCGACGGTTTTCGGAGTTTCGGCTATCGTCGCTGGAATAAGTAGATCCCCTGGAGGAGTCAATTCAATTTCTATTTTGAGCTTTCCCGAAATTTCAAAGTCAGTAGAATTTTACTGGACGACCAGACTCTTAGGATTTCAATGTAAAATAAAGAAAAGCGCAAGTGATGCTTTCATAGGGATCGATCGTCTCGCACGAAGCACGGCTTAACCGTGTATGCTCGATTAATCAAGCACGGCCGGAGCTGCAGCCAGGTTACATAGGGATTCTGGCATCGGTTTGAAGCGCGATTTAAAAATCCCGTTTGTTTCGCTATGCCAGTCGGGTGAACCGATTTGCATAGCGTCAGTGCTGGTCGCTCGGAATAAATTTGTCAGGCGATATGAAGTTATGCAAACTACGTGGATCCCTCTTTTCTTTGCTTTCCTCGCGTCACTTATCTGGATCCCATTCTCACGGAAACGACGATAGAGTTTCAAACTTTTTATATTTTATGCCTTTTTACATTAACGAGAAAGTGAGTTTGACCTGTATCGTTACCTCCTCTATTACAAAATTCTTGCTTCGAATGTACGTTCGAAATATTTTAACACCCCGCTTATATCCTTGAAAAATATATACCGCCATATAGAAATTTGTCCCTCAATTTTTCACAATAAAAAAAAAATTTCACCCAACACCTCAAGGGAAATCAATAACTGGATTGACACGTGTAAAAATGATTGTCATAATAAAATGGTCGAAAAGCGAAGCGGTGCTTCCTAATACGATTTTCAAATCTGAAAAGCGCTCCTAATAACAGGATAAACGTCTCAATCAATTCCTCGGAACGTCTCGGAAGACACAGTCCTAAGTAGAGAAGCGTTACGTCGGACACGTAATGGTAACCCTAAGAATGAACTGATGACGTAATATAACGATCCAAGGGAAGCGCCTAATGTCAATTTGTTTTGCTTCACATCGGAAATCGGACAAATCATCGAGGATCGATTAACTGTACGTGGCAGCCTCTCTTGTTTTACTTTCGTTTTGATGCTTCTTTTATTTATCAACTCTGACGCACTGTTAGGCGTATGCGCGAGTGCGTCAGCACGCGTCACAACCCACGCAGCTCGTATAGTGATCGAAGGTGCGTGTTGCTTTGAATTTAGTTTGGTGTTTGCGGACTACTGTGTAGCCGTGTATCTATATGCCTGCTCTATATAGATGTATATACGGAGGCGTACATACGTACAATGGTTACGGACGAGCGTGCGTGCAGCTTTCGATTGCGTGACCTGCTCGATCCGGGGTCAAGCTCCCCTCTTCTCCTCGAAGCGCACATCCTTAATGGCGCCTTTAACACTGTCCGTAGAATTCCGATTAAGGGTAATAAAAAAATTAGAGTGAATATTTTTTTTTATATTTCCCAGTAAATATTCAAACAGTAGGTTACGGGCGAGGGAGTTTGAGAAATTCGCGAATTATGATAGGCTGATAGAATTTCTGGAGGCCTTACAGTATTCAGGTTGCGTGGGACGCCTGGCGTCGGGACGGGACCCACTTGAGTGCAGTTTCTGAAAATCTTCATAAATATTCAAAAACATGAATGCTGAATTTTACCGGAACCCCTCGGGCTGTATTCCAATTATAGGAGGAAGTGAATGTATACCTATAGCTATAGGTACACGCGATATACCTATATCAAGCCGAATTATATAACTTTACGATAAAATCTTAGCCATCCCTTGAGGTCGCGACCCTTTAATTTTGCGTTTAGGACAATATTATTATTATTATGATATTTACTTGGAGTTTTTACAATTAATAATATCGATATTCATTCGGTATTTGCCTTTTATCATTTTACACGTTATCTATGAATTTATACAAAAAATTGCCCCAATCGAAATTACTCTTTCGAGTGTTCGTGACGTGGTTAGATATTAGCGTATAGGAGTACTGATTAAAGTTTCACTGCTACCCTTACGTGGTAACGGCATTGCAAAATATACCTAAATCACGTAAACCCGTAACAAGACCTTCCGGCGAAACCTTGATTCTCTTAGGTTTCTTATTTTACCCTATATAAAAATCGGTAGCTTACTCCACGTAAACAGCTACGTCATCCTGCCCGTTATATATATCGAACAGCCACTGAGACTCGGACACCCTTCTGGGTCAGGACGTCACGACAGACGTCGGGACGCCACAACGCGGCATAAAGTTACCTGCGAATATGACCTTTTCAGAATGCCACTGAATGTTAAAATTAGTTTTTTTTTTTCACGCTTTCGCGACTCATGGGAAAATTATGAATAAGAGTAATCAGTGCGAGGACTAAACATTTTTTAGAAATTACAAATTTTGAAAATCATTACCCGCGGACCTGCTCTTTATCGCTGTTAAAGTTTCGTCGTGATTGCTGAGCAATCCGAAGCCTCGAATAAATAAACCTGTCAGGTACACAGCCACTCCTTATCGGACGGCTTGAAATTTCCCGAGCGTTTTAAAAGCTTAGTGTTATAGTCGCGAACCTCCACAAAGGCTGCCGTCGAAGGTCTTATCACGATGAAGCTAAGAGATATGAATATGCAATATTCTTAAGGTCTATAGACCGATGCATATATATATATATATATATATATATATATATATATATATATATTACATGCGGAACGTAAAGCGACTCGGTTGGCTGCCGGGTAAACCAGCCTGTGTTACCGCTCCGTATAACCCGCTGGCTAACAATGGTGCCTTTGCTGCTTTTGTTGCTTTTGTTACGGGACTTTGGCTGTCTTCTATTTTTTGCCGCCGAGCCCTCGTAATCAGACGGGCATTCTCTCGAATTTGGGTTAAAATATTTCGGAACTTTCGAACGGACGAAATCTCGTGTCTTTGCGAAACTCGAATTTCGAAAATTGACATTTATTTGCACGGGCCAAACTTTTACTTGGGACCTCGTCGGAGACAGATTTTAATACTAATTGGACGTTTTGTCAGATGTCAATTAGAAATTGTTTTCTTGTATTCTTCAAGAATTTTTATTCTCGGCCCATTATAAATGCTTCTTCTTTTTTTTTTTCCTTCGCTAAAACTCGCTTCCCCTTCCTCTTTCGCAAAGTCCGCGGGACTCGAAAGTTTTAATGAATTCTCATCAGACCAAACAAGTGTTGAATCGTACAAATCCTTCCAACTGCAATAAATTTTCTTCCCGATCAAAATGTCTGGAACTCTTGTAAAAATGACGAAAGTAGGCTTAGCGGGGGAGGTGAGAGGTAAAGGCATTAAACAGTTGGCACTACCGTTTCTTTTCCTCGCTGCCCCAAGCTCATTTCTCAAGATTCCTACAAAATACAACAAAATCGAATCACAAAATCTTTCGCAACACTGCTATAATCGATAGACAAAATTTTTATAAAAAACAAAAAATTATAAATTCACCAAAGATAATACCAGTGCATAATTAACCCCAAACTGCAAATATTATCCCTAAGAAAAAAAAAAAAAAAAAAAAAAAAAATCGGGATGATCACTAAATCACCCGGTTGGACGCAAAGTAGTTATTGCTCGTAAAGAAATCACCATGAAGTAAAGCGAGAAAAAAATTGTTTAGCGTACCAATTAAAAAAAAAAAAAAAAAAAAAAAAAAAAATATTCGAGCCGCGTGTATAGCGTGATAAGAATGATGTCACCGGCTGATATTATTTATACCCTAAAACAACGTGAACCGAGAATAATCCTCCCGTTGCCCTAGCCTCCGTTACGGTCAATTTACTTAATTGCTCCGCACCCTTCAAATTCACCTTTTTCGCTATTCCACGAATTTCCAAAAATGTTCTCCCCACGACTCCATCGTTACGACTTGAAATTTAATTAATCTCTTGTTCTCTCTCTCTCTCAATTGTTTCAGTGATCACTCGATAAGCAACCGGGTGGATCGCCGAGGACACCATCCGACGCATTGCGAGTGTAGTGACGTCACGAGGCCCTTATGACGACGCGAGGAGACGGCGGAGAGTGCTTTGGCCACATCTCAATCCGACCTTTAGGCCCTAGGATTCTCACGCCTTCTCCAGAACACGTCTCGTTCCATCATCTCATCAGCCGGCATCCACCCTGCCCCGCTTCGCCCTTATTTCCACGTCAGCCCTGACACGCGTCACGTGCAGACGCCTTCATCCTGTTTTTCCTCTTTGGCTGCCGAGACACCGTGTATACACGGCATCGCTACTTCGCGAGGGCGCAAGTACTAGATTACTGCGGTACTATTATTATTATCAGGGGCTAATAGTTATAGTATTATTATTATTATCGTGGCTAATGCCAGCAATGCTGCCGCTACCGTTACTACCATTGCTGGCAGATGCTGAGCGTCATTAAGCAATTCGTGGGACACTATCGGCAACACGTCACGTATGCTGGCTGCAGGGGGATACTGATTACTGATTACTGTAGAAACTGTGTAAGGTGGAGTAACGGCCGTTACGCTCTGCGTTAACTGACATGATTCATATTGTCGATGGTGGATAGGATAGTCATATTATATGTATATGTATAGGGGGGATATACGGGGATGCCATTAAGGATATCTATTCTCTGGATACTTTAGGTCGTGGACAGGACGGATAAGCTACTACCGGGGCGACGCATAAATTCATTCATTTTTCTCTCTTCGAGATCTTCCCGGTATCCGGAATTATTAATGTTTAATTCCACGGGAAGACTCGTCGGGTTTAAAGCGTTAACTATGTTAGAGACTTGTTGCTTCGCGTGTTTTGATTCACTGGTAAATCACTGTGGCACGGTATGCCTGACCTTACTGTTTTTGATTCTTATTTTCTTTATACTGTTTTTGTCATTTGATCGCCATCTTGGAAATTTAATGCTCGGCCTATTTGTACGGGATATTTTTTTCTGATATTACATTTTACCGTACTTTGTATAGTACCTGCGACACTCTCGGGGCTCTTGCGAGTCGCGGATTGACTCGAAGAGGGAAAAATGCTTGATCACATCATTCATCTCCATATCGAGGCCTGTAAACGCGAGGAATTTCGTGGAAATTTGCCAAACCGCGAATCGAGCGTTTCGAGGTCTGGAAATGGGTCTCGTGCTTGCGAGACTGATAAGGACAAATAAAAGGAAAAAAAAAGTTAGACCCGGGGGCTTAGTATAGTATTGGTACGCTCCTGCGTTCCTGCGCCCCACCGTACGGGAGATTTCGCACGATAAAACCTAATGGATGAAATCGCGGATGAAACGAGAGGTGCTGAGATTTGGATGTGACTCGAATGGAAAAGAAGTATCCGGGAGTACGAATGAAATATGGGAGCATTGAATCGGAATCTTGTTCTCTTCTGATTTGGCATGCTCTTATCAACACATATCTTACGTCGCGATGAAAATCTTAAGCCTTAAAGGTCAAATTAGGTAATTAATTGCAAACGGAAGTGACGTATCATGTTCTTTCATTCCTACTTAGACAACGTATCAAATCTCACCGGAATTGAAATTTACCGTCGTAATGTTCGAGTAATTTTTTGTTTTTCAAAATTTATTTCAAATTTTGACACACTCTAACAGAACAGGATATTTTTGAGTTTTGAGGGTTGGCAGGAATTTAATTTTTTTTTTTCTGCACCGTCAATCGTATTTCGTATTTCTGCAAGAACGTCCAACGAGCGAATTTCATTTGGTGGATTCGTGTCGGATCGAGTGAGAATGCTAAGAGTTATAATCGAAACGGAATTGAGTTCTCTTTAGATAGGATAACATACCTATAGGTAGGATAGAATATAAATCAAAATAATAGAGTACGTGACGAGGGGTTGATATTCCGTTGAACGGAAGCGCATAGGTATTTAGACAGTTATCAATACGAGCGAAGACGATGCCGTAGGAATTTGAGAAGAGTTCAGGAGGTGTGAAATAAAAGACAAAGAGAAAAATAATTGAAGCAGCCTAAAAACGAAGTATCTCGTTGATACAAGAAGAGAAGCGATCGATAGGAAAACCAATTTAATCGTAGGCCTTTGAAATCTGCCGATTTATTTTCTACCACGAAAGTTCTGTCCCTCCTCGTAGATAAGAAAAAATTTGAAATACACTACGGAAACACAAGTAATGGAGCTTTTTGCATTTTAACGGTCTTTGAAACGCGATAAAAAATTATCTCCAGTATATGGGCTTTGTTAGATTACGTAAGCGCGCGTAGAAACGAAAAATAGTGAAATTTGTAAAATTTTCAAAATTTTATTGACGCATCCTAAAATCCGTGAAACTTCCTTCTCGAACCAGGGAAGCTTCGGTCACGCACGTACAATTTCATTTAAACGCTGTCAAGTCCCGTGAGAAATCTAATAGTCGTGTTATTGCGATATACCGTATAGCGAACCACGTGTGTATGCAAATATCCCGAGGGACACTACTTTCACGCCGTCCCTTATTCTAGTGAAATCAATTACGCCTGGAGCGGCATTTTTATATCTCGAATGACTTTAGCGACTTAAGATTATGGATCAGTTCTAGGGATAACGAACAAAAATTGAAAATTCGTTATTTATATATATATATATATATATACGTACACGATCGAAGTGAATTACTAGAGGCACGGGTTAATATGTATAATAAAGCATGAAGTACAGTAGCGGCTATTACGTGGGCAGCGACGGTATTCAATGAAAATTAAAGGGTAAAGCTGATTCGAGGTGTGACATGTTTTTTTTTTTTTTTCCGCGAGGCGTCAGGTTGTAAAAACGTAATACTTAGTGCACGCGACAATATACTTAGGCACCGTTCTCGAATTTTAATAAAAAGTTTTAAAGGATAAGCGTCAACGCCAAAAGAGACAAATGTCTATTTCGAAGACTATCTGCTTTCTGCAGCCTACTGATTGTCGAAGGGTCCTCATAAACGAAATGCATTGAAAGATACGAAGGATGCTCTGTGATTCACTGGTCATGCTGTACCTTCACTTTTTTTTTTTAATTATGTTCAATTTTTCTTTTAGCAAAAATATTATTTTTTCATCCCATGCGATTGCCATATTTTCATTAATTCAATCACGGCTTTAATCGGATGGCCTAATTGTTCGACGACTTCTCATATTCGTCATACCTAACGCTCGTAGCTACTAGTGTTCGTTGCGCATTCTTGAAATACCCAAGAACTCATGTTACTTGGTTATGAACGACGGGGAATAAGGGAAATACGAATACGTGTTATAATAAGAATAGACATAGGCGTAGACAGGCTTTTTTCAAGAAGTATAAACATTCTCTCGACTTACCCAATGGCCTTCACTTTGGACTGAATCCCGATACTAAATTTACACGTAACGCATACCTACTATATATTGATCACCGTTTTAGGGTAATTCTCAGCAGTAGCCACCAACACCCTGGCAAACCTGACAAATGTCGCGCTCATACACTTCGCTCATTTTAGTCGATGGAAAAGAGCCAAGGGTAGAATTCATCCTCGATTCTACAGGGAATACGATATTCGTCATTCCAGGTTGGTTGGAGACCCCCGATCGTGTAATCACCACTGCGGAAATATCGTCTTCCCTAGAGGAAAAAAATGAAAAAAAAAATTGGAACATCAAGAAGATAGGAAAGGACAGAGACAGGCAGGCATTATCTGCAAAAAATTATATCTGGTGTAATCATTCAAAAGATCCTGTTTCTCGTCCACGAGATTTTCATCTTTTATCCCATTTAGCATATGTGGACCAAGCATATACGTCATACGTAGTCCACTGCCGTTCCAATGAACCTTTTCAGCTTCAATCTTTCGGGCACTTCAATAAATTGTCACTTTTTTGTCCTTACCCTCTTTTTTCATTTGTTTTTTTTTTATTTTTTTTTTTCATTCCCACAATCCGTTTCTTCTCTCGTGCGATATCGAGCCACGTTAGCCTTCGCGTGTAATTTCCTCCTTAGGATGTAAAAACATCTGAGCTCGATGCAATTAGGTGCACCTGCATGCAACCAATTTGTTCATTCGTTCACAAAGTTAACCTCCGTGAATTTCCACAATGCTTCCCAACCACCCCCGCCGTCACATTCCGACTCCAAACTCCTACTGGCGAACGTAGCTACCCGTATTACCTCAACGCTACAAATTCTCGAGGACTTTGGCCCAAAGTGAAATCCATGGGCGTCAGACTCGCTTGATTCGATTTATCGAATATTTATTAATCGATTCGTTTATACGAGGACCAAAACGCGACTCGGTCAATTGTTTCGTATATTCTTGAGAAAGTTGAGAAAAAAAGATATTATCTCCGTTACTCGTAGAAGGCCGCGTACTTCTCTCGGCTATCGCTGACTTTTGCTAAAAAGAGTCTTACCATCGTTTCACGACGATCGAAAACAGGTCGATACGATTTTTCTAGTTACGGTATCTTCGATCACGAATTAATATGGGCACTGCCAAGGCTTGTAACAAATCAAAATGTGAGAAAAAAATATGAAGATTCCCCCCTTCCCACCCCACCGCACGGTCAATCAAAACCCAATCAAAGCCGTTCATGGAAATGCGAAATTGTAAGAAAAATCTTAAAGCTCAGTGTACTTTTTCGAATTTTCCAACGCTGAAAAGCTCTGACCAATCTTTAATCACAAACGCAAAATCACACAGATACCAGATGTTACGTCACGAGCTTAACGTACCAAAAGAAATGATACTTAGAGATAAATCTAGGCGTTAATAATGGACGCTACCTGCGTCGGTCGTTACTGATTTTTATACAAGCTCACCAGTCTAAAGCACGTTCTAAAAAGAAAAAGGTGGAAATCATCAAAGGACGCTCCTCGGCGAACTCGAAGGACGTCCCGACGTTGACGACAGCGTCGACGTCTTCGAGTCTCTCGGGGAGGCATTTAAAAGCGAGACTAAGATAAAAGTAAATGGCGTAGATGCTATTTTAGTATACCACACGATATAACCCAAATGCAGAAGAAGAAAAGTGAAGGAGCGGAAAAGGAGAAAAAAATGTATATTCGTAATCACCTTAGAGTACATGTTAACTGTAACACGATGTTTACTATGGACATAGAGAGAATAATAGTTATCGAATTAAAAAGTGAAAATCGCAGGAATCTACGATTTCAAGGATGT